TAAATTGGATTGGTATTTTGACATTTGTGCACCTAAGTGTTGTGTTGTGTGTGCGTTCCGGTTGGTCTCAGTGAACCATGGTCTCACACTGCCATTTGCATACGGCATCGCTTGGTTTCCAAATTAAGCTCTGCGTGACCGGTTTACAAATATAAATGGTGGTGGCCAGTGGTGGGCACAGCTAAACAAAAAGTTAGTTTTGCGAACAGCTAATTGGCTTACTGAAAAATTAGCTTTGCTAACGCTAAACCACTAAACAAATATTGAAAAAAAAATTGCACAAGCTAATGCTAAAGCGCTAACTTTTATCATCCACTGCTGTCGCTGACACTGCAAGACTAATGTAATGATGTAAGTGAACGCAATTGTTCATAAATCCCAGGTAAAGTGTCCACATCCCGCAAAGAGGCGGAGCAGAACTCAGGTGTGCTGAAGCAGAGTGATGCATTCAATGTGTGTCAGACGTTTCCCTTGTGTCATTTACTTTAATGAATTAACTCACATTGACAATCCTCTGTGTTTTTACCTAGTTTTATAAACTATCTACAAAGTTGCTAAATAACATCAATATTCTCTCAGTAATAAATCTGTTTGTTTCTGGGACGTGACTCTCACACATTTCACACATCTTTACTTTAATACAGTGTGAGTGTTGCAAAGCATGCTGGGTAGGAATTATGTGTGCAATTTTTCTGTTTACGATGTTTCGGTCTGTTTACGATGTTTCTGACTGTTTCCGATGTTTCCGAGTGTTTGTGACGTTTCTGAGTGTTTGCAATGTTTCCGTTTGCGATGTTTCTGACTGTTTGTGACGTTTCTGAGTGTTTGCAATGTTTCCGTTTGCGATGTTTCTGACTGTTTGCGACATTTCTGAGTGTTGGCGATGTTTCCGACTGTTTGCGACGTTTCCGAGTGTTGGCAATGTTTCCGACTGTTTGCGATGTTTCTGACTGTTTGTGACGTTTCTGAGTGTTTGCAATGTTTCCGTTTGCGATGTTTCTGACTGTTTGCGACATTTCTGAGTGTTGGCGATGTTTCCGACTGTTTGTGACGTTTCTGAGTGTTTGCAATGTTTCCGTTTGCGATGTTTCTGACTGTTTGCGACATTTCTGAGTGTTGGCGATGTTTCCGACTGTTTGCGACGTTTCTGAGTGTTTGCAATGTTTCCGTTTGCGATGTTTCTGACTGTTTGCGACGTTTCTGACCGTTTGCGACGTTTCTGACCGTTTGCGGTGTTTCTGACCGTTTACGGTGTTTCTGACCGTTTACGGTTTTTCTGACCGTTCACGATGTTTCTGACTGTTTACAATGTTTCTGAATGTGAAAATGTTTCTTTTCATGTTATTTTCCTGTTCTGGTTTTGTTTTATTTATATTAAAGTCTCTGTTATTGGCTGTAAACTGACATCACGAGTCAGCGACTGTTGCGGTAGATATGAGGGGGGAAAGCACTGTGAGGCTGATGACATCACCGGGTGGTGTTCACATTTGATTAGTTCTGCATAGCATCACTCTGTGTAAATCACCATTCTCTTGGACACTTTTAGTGCGGAGAACTGTCATAAAATTTAACAGACTTGAATTTACCAAATTTAAATTTAGCGGAAGCTAATTCCGTTAAAGGTGTTCAAAGATGGCAAAAACGCTAAAAACGGAAAATTAGTTCCACCACTGGCGATGGCCATCTTGGATTATGACCTGACAACCCAATTTTTGTAGTGATCTTTCTTATAAAGTGCAGTGTGTCGTCATCATTTTACGTTCCCATACAAAGACGAAATTGGCTCTCTGCATTTAACCCATCGCACCTGGGATACACCAAGGTGGAGCAGTGGGCAGCTATGTAAGCGCCCGAGGAGCAATTCGGGATTAGGTGTCCTGCTCAGAGACACCACGAGATGTGCAGTGACTCGGGATCGAACCCAGGACCTTCGTGTCCCGAGTCGGCTGCCCTGCCCCTACACCATCTCAGCTCCTTTGGCTGCCTTGCCTTGCAGCCAGTTATGCTCACAACATTCACAGAAGGACGCAAATACAGAGGGTATTTCCAATTCCTCCTCTTCGCAACGCAAGGAGGACAAAGACAGACTAAAATGTGGATAATTTGGGATACTGGTCCTCAAATGGAGGGAGGTCTGGATCTGGACCCGTAAGGAGTCTCATGTGGACCCGGGTTGGTTGTTAAATTTCTATAAAAATAAATCATAGAAAAAGACTTGCTCAAGTTTGACCGCATTTACAATAAATTAATTCACGCAGAGCCGTTGCGCCCACATTAAGAGTAATTAATTGTAGGTGGTGCAGCTTTTCAAGCATTTAAAGTTAATACGCTGGTGAAGATTCTCTGGTTTTCTTCCACTTTTTCCTCAGTTTTCATTTAAGGTAATCCTTACGTCATTTGAGAAGCTGCCAGCCCCCGGAGAGAAACGGGCCTGAAAACAAAATGTGGTAAGTGATGGAAACTAGCAGCTCTGTCCCTAAAAGGGAACTTAAATGAAAATATTCTAGACCAAGGGTGTCAAACTCACTTACAAAAGGGGGCCAAAATTAAAACCTTTTTCAAACTAAGGGCCAGTTTCAGAATCTACTTTAACTCAAGTCAAGATACCCAACATCTTTTCTTGTTTGAAGGTTCCTCTAAAAGAGTTAGCTTGGTCTCATTTGATGTTCTTTGATTTCTCATTTGATTGTACGTTTCACACATCATCTTGGGAGCCAGAGAAGATGTCAACGAGGGCCACATTTGGCCCCCAGGCCTTGAATTTGACGTGTGTTCTAGACGTTAGCTAGAAAAACTGTACTAGAAGGACCGCACTGAAGTTTAGTAGAAGAAGAGAAAGGTGCAACATTTTGTTGATTTTAGGTCTTACACAAAACAATTCAATGCACAAAGTTCATATTCCTGCAGACTTCTTGCTGTTTGATCACGTGCACGTTTTATTGCCCTTTTAGAGGAAGCGGAGCGCAGGTTCTTGGTTTGGTCCCGGCCCGAGCCGACTCTTTAATGGTCTTCATTGACCGAATCGACTGCAGTCTCAGATTCGGCGCTTCCTTTTATCTCTCCGCCGGTGTCACGTCTATTTTCCTTTCAGAGGAACCACACTTTACACATTTGCAAACTTTTATTGATCCTCCGTCCGCCTGCTGTCCGCCGTGTATTCTAAAAAGCTGAGAGCGATTTTCAAAGCCGCCACACCGTAATGCCTGCTGATGCGTCTGTCGGAATATTTATTTATTTTGGATCGGACGCATCGCGGGACTCGAATTACAAAAGAACGCAGACAAGACGGTGAACACGTGCACGTCTCCAGACAGGGTGAGATCAGAGAGGTTATTTAAAGGGAGTAAAGTGGTGGTGGGGGTGGGGGCCAGCTTGTGGAAGGCATAGGGGCATCTGGGGGGCTTTAATAAATTGCACAGATGTTGACTTTTAAGTCAAATCCACATTTCACTTGATAATCTCCACATCAAATACCCCCCGCTGGCTGCACCCAAACTAATCAGTGTCACGCACAGAGGGGGGTGGGAACCCTGGTCCGTATGGGTATGTGGATACCCCCCTCCGCCTTTCTGCCCAGAGCCTGAAACGAGACAGGTGGCCGTAGAAAAACAACAAGCTTGATTTGAATCGCCAAACTCCCCCACCATCAATAAATTCTGCTTTAAAACGGTAACGTGCCGCTCCAGTACCTTCAGGTGTGCGTTTGCAGGTGAGGACACACACAGGACTCCATTGTTCTGGTTTTGTCAGGTTCTCTTCCTTTCACTGCCTTTATCTCTTCATCCCTCCCACTCATGACCGGGGTCACGACCAAAGATTAGAAACGGACCCAGAACAGAAAGTGGCTCCTGGATGAATGAGCTCTTTTGTTGTTGAGGAATTTGCCACGAACGTAGCAGAAACGTACCGTGAAATAAAGTGGCAGTGAAGCTGCAAGTCGAACTGCGGGTCCAGGATCGTATTTAAATAAACTTAGAATTTGTTGGGACTTCTCTAGGACCCCAAAAAAATGCTCCAATAAAACTAAAATTTGCTTATTTTGAAACGTAAACCAATTATTTATTTTACATAAATTAACATTTATTTATATATTTTCATGCTTAAAAAAAAAGTGCTATAAAATCCTATTAATCACAGACTGCTGACCAACAATTAGCATAGATGCTAACTTATCATTGAAAACGCCATAGAGAAGCTAACCTGACTAGCATCGTGTTTATCTCTGAAAACTTATACACAATTTAAACTCTTCCGGGTCATTATGTGTCGACATAACGGTACTTCGTCTAGCTATTTAACTATTTAGCTATTGAACGGTCACTAATGGTGTGCCGCAAGGTTCAGTTTTAGGTCCCACTCTTTTTTACAATTTATATAAATAATGTAGATCAAAACATTCCTGACGCCTCCTTACATCTCTGTGCCGACGACAGTTTTTTTTATTGCCAAGCTAAAACAGTTACTAAGGTTTTCCAGCTTCTACAGTCTGCATTTGACATCATCCAGTCAGACTTTTTCCATCTCAAACTGGTGCTAAATGCTGGTAAAACCAAAGGAAATTTGACGATAATTAGTAATTATTGTCAATTTTAAGATGAAAGGCTGTTTAATTTGTTTTGTGTGTAGTACCTTTTTTCGACCACTGGATGGCAGTATAAGACTGAACCGAAGGATGGATAGTGAGGGAGCGAGCAGCGTGCATCTTTAAGAAAAATGGAAGGGAGGCCCCTTGACGTGACATGGGCTGTCTCTCTTCGGTTCTCAAAATGGCGGACGCTCGGTGTGGTTTGAGCTCTTTAGCATAGCATTTTTTTACACAAAGCTTTTAATAAAATTAAAAAATAATTAAATCAGTATTCATTTATCATGCGATTAATTGATTGATTGTTTATCACGACAGGTCTAGATGAAAATCCATTCAAAGTCTTCCGTGTCCACGATGTGATGCATCTAAAGCCAAGATTCTCCCTCCCACCCCTAGCCGAACCTTAAACACCAACCTTGTGGTTCTTGCCGTGCCGGTACACCATCCAGTCCTCCCCGTTGGTGCTGACCTCCAGCTTGAAGGTGGTGATGTAGTAGGACTTCTGGGTTTCCTTGGATACGGCTCCCTGTGTGGCGATCCCGGTCAAAACCTTCAGGAAATGGAGGTCGACCTGAATGAGACGGAAGGAAGCGATTACACGAAACATCCTGGTTGACTGCTCATGTAGACGGTGACGGAGCAGCTGTGGCGTTTTGGTAACTTGTCGCGGACCGTGGCCTCCTGCCGAGGAGGCCGGAGTGAGTCAGTGTTGTCGTGTGAGGTGAGGAAGGCTGGAGCTGAAGATCGGTAGCACGGTGTTCGGATGCGGTCCAGGAGAGCGTCGTCATCAATCACATCTCGTCGGAGCTGGACGAGTTTCAGACAGGAAAGATCGAGTGCAGAAGCACTTCCTTATCGTCGCTCCACAGCTCCTCTGTTTCTTTGGCGTGTGCTGCTGAATATTCCTCTCTGCATGCGAGATGCTGCTGCCTCTTCTGCGATACTGTAGCATCTCTGAGATAAATTTATCGTCCCCGGCAGAGGAAAGTGATACTGAAGGTCACTTCACAGCTGGAATAGTTATGAACGGCTTTTTTTTTTTTAAATTACAGGAAGAAGACGTCTCGGGTGGAGGAGTTCAGGTATCTGGGAGTCCAGTTCTTGAGTGGGAGGTGGATCCACGGATCTGGGCCTCGTCCTCAGTAATGAGGGCGTTGCTTCGGTGGGTCGTGGTGAAGAAAGAGTTGAGTCTAAAGGCGAAGCTTTACGGGTCCCTCCTCTGTGGTCATGCTTGAATCAGGACTGGAAGAACCAGATCCAGGATCAGAGAGGCTGAAATGAGCTTCCTTCGTATGGTGGTGGTGGTGGGGGGGGCCCAGACTTAGAGACAGGGTGAGGAGCAGAGCTGCTGCTCCCCTGTACTATAAGGAGTCAGTTGATGGTTTTTCTGGTTACAGCACCTCCTTTTGGAGTTTTTCTGGATACGTCCCACTGGCAACAGACCCCAAGCCAGACCAAGAACTCTCTGGAGGGACTGGGTATCTTCTCTGGTCTGGGAACATCTCAGAGTCCCCCAGGAGGAGCTGAAGAGAGTCTCCAGGGAGAGGGAGGTCCCAGTTTCTCTCCTGCACCTGCTGCCTCTGCTGCGAATAATCCATAGAAGAAGAAGAAGATGGAGGAACCCCACCCCCCTAAAGATTAAAGGCCTTCATCGCCCTCTGAGTCGTCGTGGTCAAACTTAGTGAAAGACGATACTCACATCCTCGTGTCGGATCTCCACAGACGTGTTAGCTCTTGTACTACACATGGAGGACGACTCTCAGCTACTACCACACCCCATCTTAGCTCAACATCTGTGAAACTGCCTGAAATTTAGCCATTTGTGTGTTTGCTCAAGTAGACAACAGATGTTAACTGGAGAGATTTCATTTCCTGTGAAAATGCTTATTGTTGAAGAACTTGCTGAAAAGCAGCTGAAGTTAGCTAAAAACATGCAGAATTTTAGCTGAAATGGATAAGCAAGCCTAAGTTAGCAGAAGAAAGCAGAAAGAACACATATTTTCTGAATTAGGTTTAAATAAACAGAAATGAGCACAGAAATTAGCTAAAACAGCTGAAATTAGCAACAAACAAAAAAATAGTTGAAAAGTAGCTAAAAAGGCAGAGAGAAGCTTAAACTACCAGAGGGAAGTGGAAAAAAAAAAAGTGGAATTAGTTGAAAAAGCTAAAATTAGCATAAAACAGCTAAATAGGAGCTGAAGTAACAGAAAAAGCTGAAACGGATACGAGCTGAAAGAAGCATAACAAGCTGAAATTAGCAGAAAGAATCTGAAAGGAGCAGAAAACAGCTGAACAGCTAAAATTAGCTGAAAAAAGTTTAAATTTGCAGAAGGAAGCTGAAAGAAGCTGAAGCAGAACAAAATGTGAAAGGAGCAGTAAAAAACTGTAAACAGATCTAAAGATCATTTGTAAAATGAGCTCAGTTCATTTTCTAAAATGGCAGAAAAGGCTAAATATTTCAAAAAGCTAAAGTTGCACTAATACCAAAAGTCATGGCAGGATTGTCCTGAAAGAGCACGAGAATCGTGCTGAAAAATGTACTGGATAGTTTAAAGAAACCCAGAATAATAAATATTAACAGGATCACAATAGTGTGAAAGCTTCATAATCATTCACACCATTAGCTGCAGATGCACAGCCACTGGTTACCTTCTGTATGATATTCTGCTAACACAACAGGCTCGGGTAAAAACAGATTACAAAGAACAAGAGAACTGGAACGAGTCAAACAAAACGAGTGAGGGGGGGGGCACCTGTATGAACTCTTTGCTGCTGTCCTCGGACGGCGTCCAGCCGTTGTCGTCGTTGTTGAGGCGGGCCTGCCGCGGCAGCCAGCGGTTGTCGTAGAACGTCGTCGAGGCTGAGATTTGATCGTTGCTGATCTTTCCCGACTCCATGCCGAGCGCCATGCTACAGTGGAACGCTGATAAAACGTAAAAAAAAAAGAACAAGTGTGAGCGGGGAGGCGGAGGGGGGCGGGGGTTTGATTCCAATGGATGATGACTGCAGGAAATGTTTCAAAAATAAGAGAAACGCTTTGAAGGATTGGAAAAGGTAAATATAGACAGAGAGAGAGGACAGAACAGCCCAACAGGTGAGCCGAGACAAATGGAGGTGAAGTTAATTCATATTCAGAGAAAACAGCCGTTTGAGAATCTCTCAGGAGAGCACGGCAGCAGCTGAGAGGGGTGAGGAAGAGCAGCCGAAACCAAAATAGCATAAAGACACGGAGGATGACGAGGGACAGACGACGAGAGGCCAAACTGTCGACTGGGACACAAACACTCACTGTCAGACACTTCCTTGTGCGTCAGGTTGTAGCGCGCCGAGAAGCCGTCTTTGGCCACGGCCATGTCGGTGTGGAAGGAGAGCGACAGCAGGCCGGAGGACGACTGGATCTCCGGGGGGATCTTCGTCCCGCAGTAACGTCCGATCAGAGGCGACGCTGCGAACAAACCACAAGCATTAAGACGAGAAGCGTCCTGTAACAAAGTTCAGTCAGGTCATCTGGACGTTTTTTTTTTTCCCCTGAGAAGTTTCGTCCTTTATCCAAAGGACTTCTTCAGTCCAAGAAGCCACAAACGAACTGGAGTCCCACAAATACCACACTCCCATAGTGGACAGAAACAGTTTGCTGGTGATAAGATGGTTTCTGGGGCCCCCCTCTCCTCATCAACTCCTCTGAGGCAGTCATGCCAAAATGGTTCAAAACAACAACGTTCATGCTCAATAATCCAGGTACAAATCCAACAAAGTTCAGTCAGGTCATCTGGATGTTTTTTTTAATTTTTTTTATTAAGCTGAGAGGTTTTGTCCTTCGTCCAAAGGACTTCTTCAGTCTGAGAAGCCACAAACAAACTGGATAAATACCACACTCCCATAGTGGGAAAAAAACTGCTGGTGATAAGATGGTTTCTGGAGCCTGCCCTCTCCCCCGTCAAAGTTTGTGCTCAATAATCCAGGTACAAATCCAACAAAGTTCAGTCAGGTCATCTGGATGGGTTATTTTTTTTTCTGAGACGTTTCATCCTATATCCAAAGGACTTATTCAGTCTGAGAAGCCACAAATAAACAGAGGGCGGGCCCCGGAAACTCATCTCATCACCAGCAAACTGTTTCTGTCCACTATGGGAGTGCGGTATTTGTGGGACTCGTGGCTTCTCAGACTGAATAAGTCCTTTGGATGAAGGACGAAACATCGCAGCAAGAAAAAAAAAAAAGAAAAAACATCCAGATGACTTGACTGAACTTTGTTGGATTTGGATTTGTACCTGGATCATTGAGCATGAACTTTGGTGTTTTGAACTATTTTGACCATGGCTGCCTCAGAGGAGTTGGCGAGGGGGTGGGGTGGGGGGTGGGGTGGGGAGAAACCATCTTATCACCAGCAAACTGTTTCTGTCCACTTTGGGAGTGTGGTATTTGTGGGACTCCAGTTTGTTTGTGGCTTCTTGGACTGAAGAAGTCCTTTGGATTAAGGAAGAAACGTCTCTGAAAAAAAAAAAAAGAAACCATCCAGATGACTGGACTGAACTTTGTTGGATTTGTACCTGGATTATTGAGCATGAACTGTTGGTGTTCTGCAAAGTTTTCCAGTCGCCACACTGGTTCAGTAAATGTCGTCTAATGGGTCCCAGCATGCCCCCACCCCCTTACTTCCTGGTCCATCCCTCCATCTGTCGTGCGCCTCAGCCCGAGCCCAGCAGAGGAACTGGGATCCCTACCTTCATGCCAGCTGCCCGAGGATCAAAATACGCTCACACAAACCAAGAGATTAAACCAGTGTCGAGCTAAACCCCCCCACCGCCACAACCCCCCGCTGCCAGACACCAAATTCTTCATCGTGCCTGAGGTCTTAGCTCACTGGAACTGGGTTACGCTTTAATTTCCCCTTAATTCTCAACTCTGAATGGTACAAATTGTTTTCAGCTATCAAAGCTTCCGAACGCGTCGCTATAATTGTGATTTTTACGTCCCCGGGGATCCTTTTAGCGACTCAGAACGATGTAATTAGAGCAAATCTTCTACGTTGTGGAAAAAAGGGAGAGGTGAGAGGCGAGGCGTGAACCGATCAGCACCTCAGGTTTCGACTCTAACCCGTGGCGGTCACTACTAAAGTCCTCGGTAACATCCTGAAAGAACGCTCGGCTCCCGCCGGTGCTCATCGTGGTCGCCGCGCTCACTCGCCTGGGAAGAAAGGAAGCGGCAGGTGATAACGAGGGAGAGCAGGAAGTAGGTGATGAGTGTTATTACAGAGGAGGGACATGGGAAAGGCCGGAGCCCTTTGAGCAGCTTCTGAAATATTTCCTCTATGCAACGTGATGAAACGCAGGAGAGGCAGCGCACATCAAAGAGCAGGGAATCGAAGGCCGCTACGCTAATTCTTGTGCAGGAACGTCGGGGGTTGCACGAGTCACCGCGGGTTTGTAGATTTAAAAAGAAAGGAAATAAAAAGGTGCATTGGGTCCCTCACCTTGAGGAAGGCCGTCCCACACCATCAGCCAGTCGTACTTGCAGTCGCCCTCGCCCACCATCAGGGGGTCGTTCTCCAGATCGAAGGTCAGGAAGGTGAGCGTGATGTCCATGCGGGGCGGGGCCATGATCATGTAGGAGCACTCCAGGTTGTGGGGGTATTTATCCGGGAATCCCGGCGACTCGATCATCCCGGACGGGCTGGTGAAGTTGCGGAAGCAGAATTCTGACCCTGAGAGGATAAAGAGGGTAAAAAAAAAAAAAAAAGTATTAATAAAACAATATGTTCAGATTAGGCAAGAATAAAGGCAGAAGCAATCGATCACAGAGGTATCTCATCTAACTCGCAGACGGTGTTTAAGAGAGTCGTTTGTCACCGACAGCCTCCTGGAAGATAAACACAAACGACTTGGAGATGACTTTGTCTTTGACAAACCACAAATCAGTGCTGCTGCTTGTGGACATGTTATGAACAGTCAGTATCTTACCTGTTGTAAGTAACTCTTTGAACAAGCTCAGTTTGGAAATTTTTTTTTTTTTTGGTAAGCTTTTACCCCTCCGTTAAATCTGCATTATATAGTTATTCCCAGAGAGTTCTGTTTTATTAGTAAGTGCAAAAAACAGCAGCTAGCTGTAGCACTTCCTGTGCAACCACGGGTACTTGCGTTGCACAGAACTGATATTTAAATTAGAATAAAAGTGTAATGTGAAATTAAAAGGGTGTTGAAAAGTTCATAAATCAGCATTCTCATGAACCGTCATGAACTTTTTGGTACTGGAGTAATTTTAAGGTGGAAACAATCCCCTTTGGTGCCGGCCATGCTAACTTTTAGTTCGTTTTCATTGACATGAAAGGAAATACTGGACTAGAGGCGTCTAATTCAGGTTCAACGGCTCCAAAACTAAAATAGTTGGTACAAGTCGGGGGCCAACTTGAGTCAGTATACATTAACTTGTGTTAGATACTCGACATCTTATTTTAGTTGCGGGTTCGTTGACAAGAGTACAATTGGTCTACCGTATTTTTCGGACTACACGACGCACTTAAAATCCTTGAATATTCTCAAAAATCAACTTATAATTCGGTGTGCCTTATGTATTAATTCTGGTTGTACTTACTGACCTCGAACCGATTTTATGTCCTTATAATCCGGTGCACTTTATAGTCCAAAAAATATGGTAATTGGACGTTCTCTGTTGGTCTGTCCACATCAGAATCAAAGATTACTTAAACGTCAAACCTTTTTTGGCTTCAAAGTTGACCAACTGTCACGGGAAGTCTCCACTAAATGAAATGCGCTCAGTTTTTAAGCAAAATGGGAAGAAATTAAAAGTAAAACAAGAAAGTTCCTGGAGAAACTTTGACGGGGGCCTGCCACATCAAGGCCTTTTAAAATTTTTGATTTGACAGTATTTTGTGTTGGGGTTCACTCTCAGCTACCAACGTACAAAATTTCACCTCAATGTGCAAAAAAAAAAATCAATGACTTATAGTATTTTTCTTTCTTTAAAAGCTATGGTGGCCATCTTGAATGTTTGATTTGGATCCAACATGTGTGGGGAACGTTCTCAGCTAAGACCACACCAAATTTCAGCTCTGTATGTGTAAAAATAGCGGAGTTAAAGCCATTTAAATTTAGCTTTGGTGGCCATCTTGAATTTTTTTATTTGAATTCAGTATTCATGGGGCATCGCTCTCAGCAACCAGCACACCAATGTTCAGCTTAATATCTCTAAAAATGGCTGATTTACAGATTGTTTCGATGAGAAATATGGCGTTATTTGTTTGTAAATTGTGTCGCCATGGTAACTTGAAACGCCAATAAAAGTAATATAACCAATCATGGTGCCAAGACGGTCGTTTCAACACCCACTCCGAATGTCATCAGCCATTAAATGGCCTATTATCAGTTGTTATTATCCCCATATGTAGCGTTCAGACTGCTCCTCCTGTACCTCCTAGTGGGTTTAAAGGTACGTTGTTAGCGCTGATAATAGGCTCACGTGGTTACGTTCTGTCTAAAGGATCTGGGGATTAGGTTTAAGGTCTGGGTTAGGTTTAGGCACAAGGGTAAGTGGGTTAAGTTTAGGGTCAGTGCTCTTGGTCAGGTGTAAGGTAACATAACGCTAACATAAAGCTGACAAAAACACTTCCTGTTTTACCCGCGTGCGACGCTGCATATTATCAGCGATACAAACATAACTTTAAACCTGCTTACCTTGGGGGCCGTAAAAGACGTTAACAAGGGCCAGATTTGGCCTGCGGACCTTGAATTTGTCAGGCTCGCTTTGAAACCAGCAGGAGCTGGTTTACGGGAGCAGCCAGGGTTGTTGGAGTTTTAAGTCCCGCCCACTTCCTCTAACAAACATGGTGGATTTAAAATTTGCGCTGGGGACCACTGTGTGGCTTCAACTTCCGAGCTCCCGTATGATATCCAGCATTTCCTTATGTTTCAATGCATTTTCTTAAACCGCGGTCCTTAAAAGCCATCTACAACAGGTAAGACACTGATTGTTCATAACCTTTTTACAGAACTCTACTTCATATTATCTAATTTCTGCTATGACAAAGATGTTCCCAAGATCTGCAGGAAAAACAAAAAGATGCAAACTTTTAATTCAAGGCTTTTTGACCCTTCTTCTGCTTCCTCACCCACCTTCAACACAAACCCTCTCTCCACGTTCTCACTCCGAGTTTCAGAGTGCGCCTCCCTCTCCCTTAAACACACACAGAACTTGTGTAATGGTCCTAAGTGGGCCCTCAGCGGCAGCTCCTCGTTAGGCATGCAGATTTATGCGCCCGGGGCGGCTCACCTTGAGCGGCAGCAGCTGTGTGGCTCAGATCATCTACCCATCAGCCATTGCTCCACGGGCCCGCTGGGGAGCCCGAGTCACGGCCAAGTGTTTATGTACCGGCACGTCAATGAGGGTCAGTGGGAGCGGCGCATGTCGGCGCACAAAACAGACGGAAGATTTTGGACAAATGTGTCACGCACACGGCCGGATGCTCACCACTCAAATGTTTCTACCTTTGCATCGTCGGCTGTAAACAGCTGGATCAGGTTAGTTTTAGGTCCGGATGTTTATTTTTAGACCGTTGGAAGGACAAATGGCCTCGGGTGATGTTTAGTCTTATTTGATCCTATTCACCGGTCGGTACGAGACAGAAATGGCATCCATTTATCCACCACCAGGGGTGGAACCAGGGGATGACCAATGGTGGCCTTGATCACTAAAGAGTAATTTTTGGCCACCCCAATCATTTGAGGAAACAGTACTTTAAAGCTGGATGGTCCACTATGGGACTGAGTTTGTTGTGGCTTGGACCAACAAAGTTTTTTGGATGAAGGACGAAACATCTCAACAAAAAGAACCCGTCTAGAGGACCTGACTGAACGCCGTTGGACTAGAAACTATAGTTTCCTCAAATAACAGAGATGGAGGCTTTCATATATACATGGCAGCAGCCATCTTGGATTTTGACGTGGCAACCCAATTTTCAACAGGACCTTTTTTTTTTTTTTACGCCAGGATGCATCCACATACGGGCGGCACGGTGGCTCAGTTGGTAGAGCTGTTGCCTTTCAGTGAGAAGATCACCGGTTCAAATCCCGGCAGGGGGAACTTTCTGGATGGAGTTTGCATGTTCTCTCCGTGCTGCGTGGATTTTCTCCGGATACTCCGGTTTCCTCCCACAGACCAAAAGCATGCATGTTAGACTGATTGGTAACTCTAAATTGTCCCTAGGTGTGAGTGAGATGAATGGATGTCTTGTTTGTCTCCATGTGTCCCTGTGATGGACTGGAGACCTGTCCAGGGTGTCCCTGTGATAGACTGGAGACCTGTCCAGGGTGTCCCTGTGATGGACTGGAGACCTGTCCAGGGTGTCCTTGTGATGGACTGGA